CATCAACCGTTGCCGACGTAATGGTTGCTGCCGACCGTTGAAATCTAGCTATAAATAGTGACGCTTCGACATACCTATCGAGGTCTCAGGCTATCTACCAGATAACTTCACGTTGCAATGGCACCAGCATCCGAGTTGAAGGTGGTCATGGTACGATATCAAGGCTTTCATACAGTACCGTTTGCGATCACAGATATGTGGGATACCAGGGCGCGATGACATTTGGCGTTACTGGGAAAAGTGGAGCTCGGGTGCATGATCTGAAGGACGTCAGCGACATCCTCGATGTTTTTCAAAAGCATGGCCACGAAGAGGTACCCTTCTTCCCCTCCGGAGTCCGTCCCAACTCGCGTTTTGAACGTGCTTTGGTGTTTCAAGGTTGATACCGCCCGTGTATATACAGGTGGCACCTCTGAAGAGTTCCTTGGTGAGGTGCGTTGAGCTTGATATACTATCGGTTCAGGATGAAGCCTCGAACAACGGCAGATCGGGTGGCAAAAGCGTGGCTTAAACGTTGAGACGAAATTGTCCCCTCGCGTTATCAGACATACACCTGAGGTTCCTAACTACTTTCAACAATATTTCGAGTGCTTACATATAGCACCTCAGGGCCTACGTGAAGGTCTCCAGAAATCGCTCGCTGCCCTAAAGACCAATAAGCTAGAGCTATGGTATCTTCATGCTCCTGATAGGTAAAATTTTTGAGGGATTTTCGCGCCTTTTATTTACCCGCTCATAGATCTGTTCCATGGGAAGTTACGTTCAACACTGTGAATGAGCTGCACAAAGAAGGTAAATTCGCTAAGGTGCGCCCTCGGTCTGCGGGAAAGCGCCCTCCTCTGAGTCCAAGCATCCCGCCTTAGCTCGGCATCTCAAACTACGCATCGTGAGTTTAAATACTTCATAAAGACGTGAAGCTTACCGCCAACTCTTTTATGTAGATGGGAAGTGGCAGAAATCGTAATGCTCTGCCGTGCCAAGGGTTGGATACAACCCACCATTTACCAAGGGCTGTACAACGCCATCCATCGCTCCGCTGAACCCGAGCTCTTCCCTTGCCTCAGGAAATGTGCATTTCTCGTTTTATACACTACACAATTACTAGTACTTACTTCGGCGCCCATGCGCGGCAGTTGGCATAAGTTTTTACGAGTTCAATCCCCTGGGCGGAGGTTTCTTCACAGGTGCCTTTGATTTGCAATCGTTTTCGTGCATTTCTGAACTTATCCGCGACGTGGATTAAAGGTAGATATACCGGTCCGGATACTGTGCCTGAAGCTGGCTCGCGCTTCGATACGGATAAGAATCCGAATCAGGCACGCAACTACCGGTGCTGTACCACGGCCTACTTCACATGTCCCCTTCTTATTTCTCCCTCGCTTGTGTAGAGCCCGATACTGGAAAGACCAATACTTTAAGGCACTCGACATCATCAAGAGCGCAGTGGAGAAAGAAGGGCTTACAGTTGCGGAGGTATGCTGCTGGATGTGATTCAACTAATATTGCACTGGGATCGAAAATATTTGCTTCAGGCTGCGTTGCGCTGGTTGAGTCATCATAGTTTACTCAAAAAGTAAGTTTAAAGTTATATGAACCATTCGGGAAGTTGTTTTTTTTTAAAACTCTTTCAAGGGAGCATGGGGATGCTGTTATCATTGGAGCGTCTAGTGTGGCGCATATCGAGCAGGTCAGATTTACCTTAAACGTTCCTCTCATTTATTTATTGTGACTTTAAGAACCTCATCGACCTCGAAAAAGGGCCTCTTCCGCAAAGTGTCGTGCAAGCCATCGATGAAGCATGGCAGGTCGTAAAAGGCGACGCGTCTGCATACTGGCATTAAATCAACCCTTCCTCTGGAGGTTCCTGTCTTTTTTTTTTCCTTTTTTTTTTTTTGAATACGTTATAGTCTTTCGGAGCTACTGCCCATGCAAGACTGTACATTGCATTCATGCTTACAACTTTAGCTGTCAAACCACCTCCAGCCCTTCACGGGACCTCTGTCTTGTTATGTAAAGAACAACGTCTTCTGGAGAAATATACAAATTGAACCGAGGCTTTCCAGTATGGAAAGCCTAACTATCACGCTCTGTTCCGAGTAATTTGATCGTTATGTAAGCAGTCTGGCTGCGTTAGGCATGTCGGCGGCGAAGGTAGGACCCCGTCGACTGTAATGCTGACCTCCGTTATAGTAGTTGTATTATGTAATGCATGCACTATCTGGTGCCTCCACTCTGGAGTGCAATAATTCATTCATTTCTGCATGTAATAGTGCAGTTTCTTTTGGAGCTGATTATGATAGATATATACTAGTGCTTCCATATATAATATCTGTGATAATATGCCTAAATAAAAAAGAGCCTTCCAGGGGTGCTGTTAAAACCCAGATTCATTCCCAGCTTTTC